AAAAAAAAATGCGATTAGTATTGCCATAATGCAACCCTGCTGAGAGTTTGCAAAATGTAGACGCGTTAAAACATACCTTTGAGTGTGACAAAATGTAGACGGCGTCGTTTTCCAATTTTGTATTTTACGGTTAGAAAACGTCTTAAAATGTAGACGTCTACATTTTGAGACACTATTTGGAACGAACTGTGAACACCCCAATTGTTCTTTTTGACCGCCACTGCAACAGACGGAATTTATTTTAAATAAAATACACCGCAGCAATGGATTGCGAAACGCCTGAAAGGTGGGTAATTTTATAATAGGAAAATGTATTCCATTTTATTATGAATTCGTGTAGACAGGCGTGGAAAATATGAATGCACCACACAGGAGCAGCTGCAGTTTTGTGAACACCACCCCGAATTGCAAACGTGTAAAAACTGTCAAAAAACTGTTGTCTCGCAGTTCCCTCAGAAGTCTTCTTCTCTGTATAATTTCCTCTTGCTTCACAATTATTATCTCAGCTGCCGATTCAAAAACGCCCTATATCAGCATATTTTCAATACATTTTGAAGTGGGATAGGGCGTTTTTGAACCGAATTTTGAGATTTTCAATTAAATTCTGAAATAGGGCGTTCTTGAAAAGTTTTTTGAGATAGAGCGTTTTCGAACTGGCTGCCGAGATAGGTCGATCTTCCCACTCAGCCATCGAGTTCTTTATACGTTAACTATTTCTTAAAAATACTAGACATCCACATACGCATCCGCGGATGTCTAAAATTCCACATTCGCAACATCCCTACTATAAACTAATACGATAATTTTCCTTACTTCTAATTCTGTATTTTTTCATTTGTTTTTGTGAAAAATCCTTTAAATGCTTTTATGAAAATTTAGTGAAGCTGGAATCTTTTGAAGTGTTACATTTAAACTTGGAAAACGCCCTCAACCAAAATGGGTTTACACCTCCAAAAAAAGGTTTCTTGCCCATACTTAAAACAAAATACTTAAACCAAAGAAAAAGCACAATTTTGGGATCTCAATTTACTCACATTTTATTGCTGAATCTACTAGTTATATCTATAATAATTAATCAGTAAATTAAAAAAAAACCTTGCATTATAATTATTAATGCAATGCAGAAATGGCTGTAACATCACATAAAAATGTTATTACGCCAGAAATTATTGGTGTTTTTCCACTTAATATTTCACTCTACTTATTGCGTCTGGTCGATTCAGAAGCAGTTGGTGGTGGCGGCGGACCACGCTTATGCAACTCTTCTAAATAATTCACAATAATTGTTGTGCGCTCCTCTTCCATGTGATCCAAAATCAAATAGCTACATTTAATTTTTATGTTAAAAATTAAACCATCAAAACAAATTTAAAATTAAAGTAAACTCACCGCTTGTCATTCTTCAGAATATCTTGTATTTCCTTAAGATGGTTGGGATTCTCTTTAACTACTTCGCTGCTCTTATGTGTAATTAACTTACATTCCTGTAGCAGTTCACGTAACGCCGTCTTTGCCGCTAGCGTTTTGTCTTTAATATAATCACGGAATTCACGTTCACACTTATCCGAGTTGTTGTACTTAAGATAACGTGGATCATCCTTAGTTAATTTTTTAATATCCTTCCAAGAGCTCGTCAACTCTAACGACGGCAACTCATCGAGCATCTCACGGAATTTTTCGCGTTTTCTCTTCATCAGTGTGTCAATGTGTTCGTTGAAAATTCTAATATCAAGGGGAAAAAAGTGTGCTTAACATTAAGGAACTCCGCTAAATTATAGCAGAAGCGTTTCCAACTCACTTTTCACGATCATCTCGATCCAAAGTTTCGATTAGTTCCCAGCGACTGTCCTTGCGAAGCTGCCGCTTGACCTCTTTCCAAGTTAGATCCGCATTGCGTACCAAATCCGTGAGCAGCGCATTAAAGTGGCCAATGGCTTCATCCCGCTTGTGGTGTTCCCGCTCTTTATCACGGTCGCGCAGATGTCCGGCCAAAGTGCGCTGCACTTCCTTTTCACGTTCCCGTATACTTTGTTCCGCGCGCAACTGCTTTTCACGCTCCTTTTGTAGACGTTCCGCTTCATCATCCTCGCTGTTTGAGTGCGCATCTTCTTCGTCATGATGCTCGCCTTCCTCGTCCTAAAATATAGTGAATGTAATATTACGTTCAAATTGGTCCCATTTAACTTGTTAATTAAATAGAGCTTTTTGGAAAACACAATCGTCCACATTGAACATTTGGAGTTAACTTTGACCGTTGTTTGATTACCAATAAAAATTCGAAAAAAAAACAAAATCAAGTTTTTGTATCAATTTGTTTTGTGCGAATGTCTGCTTCATGATATTAGTTGTGTTTGTTTAAAAATTATCCAGTAACTTGCCAGCAACTCTCCAGTAACTTTATTTCTAAGAATTTGCTCTCATAGACAAAACTTACAAAAAAGTACGCTAACGCTATTCCAGTAATAATTTGCAAGTTTCATGAACAGCTGATAAATTCGTTGCTTAATTCGCAGGAACTTCCTAATAAAACAATCAGCCCTATTCTGCATTTCGATTACGTTCCCGCATTCCGCTCCGCTGGAATCGAACTTAGGTATTCTGCGTTACGATCGAAACGAAAGAAGAGGAAGAGAGAAAACATCTTTCGAAATCAGCTGTTTGCCTAGGAATGTGTGAAATCGAAACAAAACAAAGAAATATTTACCACCAAACTCAAGCAGCATATGAAGTTAAAGTTTGTAAATATTTTAAAATAACTAAATATACCTAGCATCACTGTAATTTAAAAACAAAATTTAAGTGGATACATAATTATAAGAATGAAATCCATAGCCGCGGCGTTATTGCTTGAAGAGAAGAACGAGTCCCAGATTGCTGATGCGGAAGTTGAAACTCGGAGATTTAGGGACATGTTTGATCTTTTTCAGATGAGTGAAGGAAGAGTCATAAGGAATTCATCTTGAACTGTATTACTCATCGCTTAAAGTCAGTGAAATTATAAACGTTGTTTGAGCACTCCACAACATTTGTATTTACTACAGAGTTGGAAGATTTGAACGCAAATGAATCCCATTTTGAAAGCCGTCAGGAGGAGGGGAAGAACAAAGCTTATCTTTCCATAGCAAATCGAATTCGAGGCAACATACGCACCTCTTTTTAAAAAGTTGGTAAAAACGAGTGCAATAATAAAAACATCTTTTTTATGTAACTTCACATTTTATGTATGTATGTATTATGTGCATACATCTAGTAATTTTTTATAAAAAGAATAAATTGAATTCAGTGCATTTCACAGTCTTATTTATAGATAATGTAAACAAAAACGCCTGGACTTTCACTTTGAAAACGTCGCGCAATATCCCTTTTGGTTGCCGTTATTTGAGCCAATTTTTCGTATTGCCCGTATTACCGCTCGCGAAAACACAGAAATCGAGAAAATTCATTTATGATGACTATTACAATCATGCACAGAATATTTTACTTAAATTTTTTATAAAATTTTATTATTTAAACCCACGAAAATAACAATTGAAACGTTCTCCGTCAACAAATTTGCAACTTAGAAAAACGGAACTACGATCGAAATGTAGAATAGGTATAATCGTAAATTTCGAAGATTGATCGAAAGGAAACGGAACGCAGAATACCAAAGTTGCCAAACGGAGAAAATTTCGATTCGAGTCGAAATGCAGAGTAGGGCTGAATATATTTTATATTTAAATAGGTTTAGTTTGTGAATTTCAACAATAAAAACCCACGTTTCCTTATTAGTTTAAATTTCATCCAGCAACATGCGTCCAGCTGTTTTTCGTACTGGCAAATTTTAACAAGGGAAAATTTATCCAGTAAAATCCAGTAAAAACTTGCAACTTCAACTGTCATTTTTCGCTATCTCAATTTCCCCTACTTTGCAAAATTCGTAAAAACTTTTACTGGATTTTACTGGAAATGAGTAAACAAATGCAATTATTAACGCATACGGATTACTTAGAGACTTCAAAATGTTTAAATCGTATGCACCATGGTGTAATAATAGGTGCGCTCGTTTAAAATCTCCAGTAAAAACCAACCAACAGCAAAATTCCGGCGAAATGTCACCAGTTCTCTCACAAGAGAAAAATATCCAAAACAGTACGCGAACAGAAAATTTGCCAGCCCTATTCCCACACCACTGACAAAACACAGCGGACTATTGACCTTTACTACTGCGCCTAATACTATCCCGCAAATTTATTTTAGCTGTCGTATGACAATTGTCAGTTTTATTGTTATGACCTACTGAGTAAGTGACAACGGCGAAACAATAGCTCTGATCCAATACTTTTCGTGAAAAATCCTGTAAAACTGTCAAACAGCAAAATTAATCTCTGAAGTGAGAGTAAAAAGTGAGTAACAACAAAAAGTACGGGAACAAAAAAACCATTTTTCCTGTAAAAACGTCAACCCGTGATTGCTTGACACTTTTCATGATTTTACCAGAAGAAAAAGTTCGGGTAAAATCTTGCAACTTCATTCTCTACACAACTCTCCAAAAGTCGCTCTCATTTACAGGATTTTGGAGTACGGGAACATTTTTCCTGAAACTTCCTGCAAGTTCGTGTAAAATCCTGGAAGTTCATGGAGTACTAGATCAGAGCTAATGTTTATATTGTGTTTTAGGCGCAGTAATTGTGACAATAGCCATATGATGAATTTTGTCAGTGTTGTGGGAATAGGGCGGTTAACCTCACTTTTTCGGCAGGTCTATTCCGGTCACGCATTTTAAAGTACTAGAAAAAGTACTAATTATTTATTTATTTATTCGTTTTAATCTAGAAAAGTGTTATAATTCTTACAGATTACATAGAAAGAAAATTAGAGAGCACTTAAGACTAATTAAATAATTCATTTAATAACATTTTAAAATAGTATTTTGTGTAAGAAAAGTCAAGACCATTGAGAGTTGAAAGCGAATTAAATTCTTTCAAAGTTCTCCGAATCGGAGCATTACAAGCATAATTTGCTTTGACCGTGCCCAACCAGAAAAAATAATGATTCCGCAGACTGCGCTGCGGAATATTGAAATTAATTTTTGCGAGTAGAGATGGGGAGTCGATCATCCCATTTATTAGATCATAAACGAAAGTGAGGGAGAGAATGGTCCTTCTACTTTCCAACGATTTTAGATTAATGAGCATGCACTGACCTCTGTAAGATGGAATTGGCTCAGAAAATTTCAGAGAACGTAAAGCATAGCGGATAGACTTTTTGGACACGCTCGAGCCTACTAATATGACATGCATAATATGGTCTCCATATAAAAGCAGCAAATTCTAGCTTAGAACGCACAAGCGAAGTATATAACACCTTTAGAGTATAGGGATCAGTAAAGTCTGAGCTGAAACGTCGAATAAAAGCTAGTACAGCCCACGACTTTGCAAGTGTAGTTTAAATGACTTTGAATGGAGAACCTAGAGTCGAAAACCACCCCAAGATCAATAATTTCACTCGGATTGGATAACCTATACCCATCAATGTGATAGGAGGTAGGAATAGAAGAACGAGATTTAGAATAAGAGACATGGAAACACTGGCTTATATTTAATCTTAACTTATTTATTTTCCACCAAGCATCGACGTTATCTAAATCAGATTGAAGATTTGGAGAGTCCGAATAACTCGCAATCGCTGAGTATATCTTTAAATCATCAGCATACAAAAGAAAGTTACAGTAGTTAAAGCAACTAGAAATGTCATTAACAAAAATTATAAAGAGTAGAGGACCCAGTATACTTCCCTGGGGAACACCAGAGGACGCAATGAAAGAGGCTGATGACACACCATCAACATTAACAACACATTTCCGAGAGAGGAGAGATAGGATTTAAACCATTTTAAAGGGGTGGAATGAAATCCTAAAGAGCTCAATTTGGAAATTAAAATTGTGTGGCTAACCTTGTCAAATGCTTTTGAGAAGTCTTTGTACACAGTATCTACTTGAACACGATTTTGGAAAGCAGACATACAATATTCTGAAAACACTGCAAGGTTAGAGACAGTTGATCTACCTTTCATGAAACCATGCTGATCAACGGAGATTAGGCGATTGACTGAAAAAATAAATTTTTTCTTTCACAATAAGTTCAAATAATTTTGAGACCGTGGATAATTTAGAAATTGGTCTATAATTGGTAATGTTATTCTTAATGCCACTTTTAAATACTGGATTTATAGAAGTTACTTTCCAGGCATCTATGAAATCACCTCGTTCAAGTGCTTTTTTGAACATTAAAAAAACTGGATAGGCAAGTGCAGACCAATTTTTAAAAATATAAGTGCGGGCAAGAAATATCGTTTTTAATGCAATTATGGATATGAAATATTAATTTATCTGTCGTCAGTATGTTCATTTAGTAGCCCAATCATTCGCTGCCAAGCGTTCATTGTAGCAAGCATACTTTAATCGTGCGTTCTGTCAAACCAACGCCAAAGCCAACGCGAAAGTTCTATGTGGACCGGCCTTTATAACTTTGCCAGCGAAACGCGAAAGGTATGCCACAATAAACGCCAAGAACTCAATTTTGTACTGCTTTTTTACTCGTCAAAATTGCTGTGGATTTTTATGTATTTTGCTTTAAAAATATCAGCAATGTAATTAAGTTTTATGTTTCTATCATATATGTAATACTCCTATATTGGCAGTAAGAGCTAGCACCGTCCGAAAACACTACAGTATAGATATATCAATAAACACGTACGAAAGAAAAGGAACACATACGTTTATAAATAAACATGTACACAACACATATACAAAAACGGCACTCAAGTACACATTACATTGACAAAAACGGTACTATACTGTCTCGCTTTGATTTCGGAATGCTTACACATTGAAAGGTTGGCTTACTGCCAATATAGAAGTATTACATATATGGTTTTTACATGAAAACTCGAATTTGGACGAAACAAAATAAATATTAAACCGGCTGATTGTCAAAGCGCGCAAAAAGATGGGAGTTGGCCATGTTTTCGATTCGCGCTGCAGCTTCAACGATCTATGTGGCGTGCTTTGTGCATTTTCATACAATTCATCTTATCTGTCAAAACGAATCTGTCACGCAAAGCGAGGCAAAAGTTTTATGTGGCATCAGCTCAAGAATGATAGATCTGTATTCTCTCCACCGTGACATCCAAGAATGATAAGAGTAGCTCTGATCCAGTACTCCATGAACTTACCAAGATTTTACTTGCAGGAAGTTGCAGGAAAAATGTTCCCGTACACCAAAAACCTGTAAATGAGAGCGACTTTTGGAGAGTTGTGTAGAGAATGAAGTTGCAAGATTTTACCCGAACTTTTTCTTCTGGTAAAATCATGAAAAGTGTCAAGCAATCACGGGTTGACGTTTTTACAGGAAAAATGTTTTTTTTTGTGCCCGTACATTTTGTTGTTACTAACTTTTTACTCTCACTTCAGAGAGTAATTTTGCTGTTTGACAGTTTTACAGGATTTTTCACGAAAAGTATTGGATCAGAGCTAATAGAAGATTGCGCCGATTGCAGCAGAATTCGGGAGAGTAATTTTGGCGGGACGTCACCGTAGAGTTGACAACTGAGAGCGGCAAATAAAACTGCTGTCTAGTGATATGCTGAATTTTCGGTACCCAATACTTAAAAAAGGTTTTGGTACCCAATACTTCCTTATCGGTACCCAATACTTATTCTTTACATTAAACCTTCGCCATTATAAGCATTTAAAGTTTCGAAAAAACTTCTATTACTAATTTATATGATATCGGCTAAAACACTTGAACTTATACCAAACAGAGAAATATTATTATTTTATCAGTTTTAACCCTAGTCGATCTAGGGCTAAGAAGAATACTTTCACGGAAGAAGAAGCCTTTGTAACCAATTAGCGACAAGTTTCGGATCGATATCGCACTTATTGACGTAAAAAAATTTCAAATCATACGTCAACAAAACTGATACCGATTCGAAAATTGTCACTAACTGGTTACAGAATCTGTCGCTAACTGGTTACAGAATCTGCCTACAAAAAAGATATCGTCCGATTCAAAATGCTTCAAACAAGTGAGAGTTTCTCTGTATTATGGCCTCGAACCCACATATATACATCTTTCATTTGAATCAGTATTAAAAGCTCTATTGGCTCCTACATTCGGGTTTTGATAGGCCAGTCTCCCCTGAACCGGGTTTTCCATAACTTTGACCTATGCGCGCTTTTATTCGAAACCCAAACGTTTCGGTACCGAGTATCGAGAGTATTGGATACCTAAAAGTATTGACTCAGCACATCACTACTGCTGTCATCTCGACTGTGACGTGAGCAAAACCGCTGATTCTGTCAAATTCACTGAGAGCCGATTAGCGGTATTGCCATCGGCGCCACCTTCTGCATTCTCTCCACCGTGGCATCAGCTTAACACCTTGTATTATAGCATCATGTGTTGTCGTTGTTAATTTCGCGTAACTACTTTTTGTAACTTCTACGTACTCTTCAAAATGTGTGCGGCCAAGACGAATTTATACAAGGTTGTGTTACTGGCGAATTTAGATTTTCGCCGCAGTACTTCTTAATGTCAAAATCAAGGCGAATTTATACAAGGTGGTGTTAATAGAACAAAAACAAAAATTACAACAAATTAAACGCTCCTTGACAATCAGCACAAAGCCAAATTACAACAAACACATGATATTGACAAAAGGTACAAATTCGCCGTGAAATCAGCGGATCCGATAACACCACCTTTTATAGATCCGCCTTGGTCAGAATGATGTGTTTGTTGTAATATGAATTCGCCTTAATTACAACAAACACATCATTTTGACATTAGGAAGTACCGCGGCGAAAATCTAAATTCGCCAGTTACACCACCTTGTATAAATTTGCCTTTTGTGCAGCGAAGTGTAAGCTTTCGGAGAAAATGTTGTGTAAAAAGCATGAAAAAGTATGTGTGTACGAGGAAACATACCTCGAAGCAGCCTTTAAGCAGATTCGGGGCGCTGACTTTTATAATGCAACGAAGACAAATGGAGTCCAAGATGCCTTCGAGCTAAAAAATACCGGACAAGTTCCTTGTTTTTTGTTATTTTTTCCCTCATTTAAATACTTGGTGTGGCAAGCCATCTGCCAGTGTGGCACGAGCTTCATAAATCAAGAAATTTGTATGAAGGAGTGTATGTAATATCGTTTGCTGTCATTCATAAAGCAACATAAAGGCTCAGTTCTGTTCTGTCCCGATTTAGCATTGTGCCATTACAGCCCCTTTGGCATGAACTGGCATGTCTGTCACAGGGTATATATTGTTCCAAAGGACCACAACCTACTAAACTGTTCAGAATTGCGACCCGTTTAAAATTAATTAATGAAAGAACATAGATAAAAACGAAAGAAGACATCAAAAATTATCAGAATTTCAAAATTAGTTGGCAGAGAGAAGCAGATAACGTCACAATAACTGATGTCCATATCCTAGAGGGCTCAAATGTAATATGCGCCATTTTGTTTATAATGAATATAAATTTTTTGAACGCAGGCGTGTTAAATGAAAGATTTTGGGTATTTCTAATTGGCCGGCGCAGAAAACTTTCTGATACAACTCTGCGCTGAACTGCGGTTTTCAAACGAGTTAAATGATTTAACTGGTTAAATTTTCCAACAACAATTGCATGCGATTTAACTCTTTTTATGAACATGTTTGGTTCATTTAACTGGTTCAAGCCCATTTAACATGTTTAGCTCGTCAATTTGAGCGTAGTTTAAGTGTATATGTCGTCTAACCACAAAAAATATTATCATTATAGCTGGGAGTTCTATAAGGAAGTGCAAGTTTCAAGCTGCTAAAAAATCCCGTTGATTTTTGGAAATTTTTTTCATGGCAATGTGTCACATATTAAAGACATGCACACCAAATTTTTTTAAGATTCTGATTAAAAAGTTAGAAATTTTGAGGAAACTGCAGAATTATTGTAATTTGTGTACAAAGTTTGAAATGTGAATTTGCATGGTGTTCTTGTATAACCGGCGGGAGTTTTATAAAAATAAAAGCTTATAAAAAAAAACTAATAATAAACATTAAATAAACTGGTCAAAATAACGCACTCCTGTTATTTTGGGGACAACTGTACAATAAATTATTTGTAGACTTACCGATTCATCGCGCTTTCTCTTCAGTTCGCCATTCTTCCCCTTATCTTTGTCCTTTTCCCTCTCCCTGTCCTTCTCCTTGTCTTTCTCCTTTTCCCTCTCTTTATCTTTCTCGCGCTCCTTGTCCTTCTCACGTTCCTTGCCTTTGTCCTTATCGCTGCGATCACGGTCACGATCTCGACTACGGCTGCGGCTGCGATCGCTACGTCCACGCTTACGATCCGACTTACGATCACGCTCCCGCTCCTTTTCACGCTCCCGTTCTTTTTCTCGCTCACGTTCACGCTCTCGTTCTCTTTCGCGATCTTTCTGCTCACGCTGCTTACGTTTCTCTTCTTTCATGATACGCATATAGTCCTGGAAGTACTCTTCCCTATAAACCGAGCTCTCCACAGCACGATAGCGAGGGTCTGCATCAAATTTCTTCTTGATGTCATGCCAACGAGTGTGACGATCCATGTCTGAACGCTCACGCAGCATCTCTATGAAATCTTTGCGTATCTAAAATTTGTTAAGAGGTTCGCAGTGTGTGTATGTGGGTGTACGCGGTGAGTGCAGGCGAGGAAGATACAAAGAGAGAAATTGAAAAACCAAGGATTAGACGATTTCAGACATTTGCTGTCATTTCAGCTTATATCATAAGACTTTAGTATAACAGGGGCTTTAGGGGCGCACTTATGAACTAACTTAATTGGCTACGACAATAACTTAGATGAGTAGTTATATTTTGTTGCGCTGAAAAAGAACATTTTATGATTAGAGATTAAACGACGTTTGTTGCTGAAAGAGAATTCAATTAGTGCACTGAGAAATACGGCCCGACAGTGCAAAGCTGAAAATTGGAAAGTTTATTGCAATTAATTGGAACGGCATTGAGTGTAAGCACTTCTGTAGAGCAGACTGACGGACAACATGTAAATGTACGTGTGACATATCATTATGAACTTAAAGTAAAACTCGACAGTAAATAAACCAATATTTCACATCTGCTTGCAGTAGCTAGTTATTATGAATTTAGAAGAACATAAACACACAAGTTACATAAAACATTAGCATGATCAATGTTGGTGGTCTTCAACCTCATAGCTCAAATAGTAGTTAACACACTACTTTGCAAATGTGAAATATCGCTTTTTGATCGCTTATTGCGCATGTGGCTGTAACAAAAATTTTAAATGTATGAAGTTTAGATTGAGTTTTTATTCATACTGTTTGTATCTTCTCGCTCAATTTCCACGCCCGCTCTAGTTCCCGCTCTGCCACTCTCAGAGACCAGAGACTGGAGACTCGAGCGCCCACATTAACTAAACTGACAGCTAGGTGTTGCAAGTTTGGCATGCCCTGTCGCCTGCCTAACGCCTTTCGTAGTGTCTTCCTTGTTTGTGGTCGCCGTGTACTTCTCCATCCTCCATCAAAATTCACCATATCATTATGGGCATCCGAAAAACTTCAAGACGTTCATGTGACGGTCCTAGCGGAAGGGTAAATCAGCAAGATTTATCGTTGATTTTCAGATATACATATTGTGAATTGCTGATTGTTTAATGAAGTCAACGTTGGACTGATTTGTTTTTGCATTTATTTACTTTTTTATTGTATTAATGCTTTCAAATTTGCATATAAATAACTCACCACGCATCGAGCTAGATAGATAAACAATTTGGGGAAACCGAGCCGAGCGGGCATACGAACGCACAGAATGAAGGCAGTAACGAACAATCAAGTCACTGGGATGGCGGGTGGCTGGATGTACATGGATGCGTTGCCATTTAATGAGATTTGATGCAGTCGTTTGCAGCTCCATGACCGAATCATTTACACGATACGCTTCAACAAATTATTTTGCTGCGTTTTTCCTTGTGTCATCTGATTCGTCACTTCTAGTGCTACAGCAGATAAAAATCCTAAAATCTGTTTGCGCTTTTTACGCTTTTTGAGACAACAAACTTTCATGCGCTTAAATATGATAGCACCAATTTTAAACGATGACACATTTTTTTGGCATTATTCGTAGAAATAAACTATTATTTTGTTGTTGTTGTGATGATAATTTGTTGATCGTTTGTAGTTGAGGATGATAATTTTACAAGTTGAAGTAGAAGTGGTAGATTTTTTGTTTTGAAATTTCAAGATTAGAGTGAAGAAAATTTTTATAAAAAATAAAAAGTATAAACTTTGCTGTGAAGCATTAACAATATAATAAGTGTATATACAAATAGAGACGTACAAAATTTGCAATCAATTATTTTAGTATACGAATGTCTAAATATTTAATTAAGATATACGTTTGCTGCAACCCAAACCCAAATTGACGTGAGCAATCAAACGCACACTCAACCCGCATGCAATTAATTAAAAACGCACATACCTGTTCTTTCTTTTGAATTTTCTCCTCTTTTTCCCGCCTACGCACATCCACAATGAATTCGTTGAAAAGACTCTCGCGTTCACGCACCTTTTCGATAGCCTTATAGCGATCGTCTTTGCCATACCGCTGGCAAAAGTCGCTGAATGAGGATCTGTGTAAATGGTTAACGAAAATATTAAGAATTGATTTACGAATCAACCTAATTTAAAGAACTAAATAAGAGGTAACACTAACTTTCCATGTAGCTTTGCATCTTCCATAAGCTTTCGAAAATCTTCACGCTTTTGTCTCATTTTATTACGCTTCTCTTTACGTTCTTCTTCGGCGCGGTCCTTCACATATTTTTCAAACACCTGCTTTCGTTCCTTGGAGGTCAGCAACAAGTACCGAGGATCAAACACAATTTTGTGTAGCTCCTTTTCCCAAGTACTAAAAGCAGATACCTGAAAAAGAAAATTACCAAAAATTAGTATATGTATGGCCGCGCGATAAAATTGTGCACATAGCAATGAATATTCCACTTACATCCTTTTCACGCAACATTTCCTTGAATTGTTTAACGCGTGTTTCCAGCGGCACCACGGCTCTCTCTTTTGCTGCACGCACCTCAGCTTCGACGGCCGCCTCATTGGCGTCAGCTTTCCTAGTTTGCTTTGCGGCTGCGATACCAATATACAAATGAAAATCAAAAATTTATTAAATTTAAAAAGCATTTCTACTAACATAATCTAGTTTTCTTCGTCGGCACCTCTTCCACACTCGACTCTGATTCAGTGCGTATTTTAATGACTTCGTCGTCTTCTGGTTCATCATCTTCCTCTTCCTCAGTAACTTCCACCTCCTTCTTCTTCTCTATCTCGACCTTTTCCACAGGTTTTTCCGCTGGCGCCGTTCCGGCTGCCTTTAGTTGTTCTGGTGGATTGTTGACAGCTTTATCAACATCGGCACGATCTAACAAATCGTCAGGTCTTTCCCACACAGATGTGCGTGTTGAAGGATTGTAGAAGAAAACTCGTGCGTCCCCCGTCCAAACGACGCACCATGGCGTACCAGCGATGGGCGTGCTCGATATGGGCCTTGATTTATCCACTGGCTTCGCAGCTGGTGCAGCAGCTTTTTTTTGTTCTTCCTCTTTCTTGCGTTTCTCCTCGGCCGCTTTTTTGGATTCCTTCTCTAATGCCGCAGCTTGTGCAGCTTTCGTTTGTTCTATTGGTTTAATATTTGCAGCAGCTGCTGCTGCTGCGGCTGCTGCGGCCGCTGCTGCAGCAGCAGCATTATATGCCATCGCCTGCTCATAGCCTCCCGCTGCAGGAGCCATATGCATTAGCGCTGGATTCGGCATCATATGCGGTGGCATGGAAGGCGGAACTTGTGGCGCTACAGCCTGTTGTGGTGTTGTGCCTGAATGTGCCGCCATACGTGCTGCTTCCATATCACGGAGTGCTTGTGGTTTTTCCCAAACACTCTCACCCCGTCCTGCATGGTAGTAGTAGGGCCGTCCGTCAGGCGCACGATGTTCTGACCATTCGGCTGCACGCGCGATCACAGCAGGATCAATCACGCCAGGCTTGATTATTAAAGTTTTAGCGGGCTTCTCTTGTACAGGTGGCCCATGACCTGGGTGCATATGTTGATTCCAGTGCATACCCCAAGGTGCTGGCCCACCAGGAAAGCCACCATAACCAGGTGGAGGCATACCGAAAGGGGGTTGAGAAAAGTTTGGCGGGTGCATACCTGGAGGAAAGAATGGTGGCGGCTGTTGGTGCATAGTGGGAGGAGGTTGTTGTGTGAGTGGTGGTGCACCGGTTGGTACGACATTCGGCGGTGGTTGTGCAAGTGGCTGCTGTGTAGGTGGTGGCTGTGACATCAAATTGGGGGGTGGATGTTGAGTTAATGACTCTGGTGCTTTCATAGGCGGTGCGACGGACATTGGTGGTAGTTCTTTTGCTGGTTCCGCATTGCCACCTTGTGTATGAACCCCAGCATCTCCAATTTTACCACCACCTTCTATGACTTGGCTATTTACTTGCTGAGGTTGCTGCTGCTGTTGCTGTTGTTGCGGAGGTTGCTGCTGCATTTGTTGTTGCTTTTTATTCATTTCTTCAATTTCTGTTTGCGTCATTACTTTAATGTTTGGACCTTCAGGCTTATTCCAAGTTGTTTCACGAGTTATGGCATGATAAAAATAAGACTTTCCATCTTCTGTCTTAGTTTCTACCCATAGTTCCATTGGAGGACCGTTTGCTACATTTGGTGGTGCGTTCGGATTTTGGCCCTGCCAGTTAGGATCAAAGTTTCCAGGTGTTCGTCCCCCGAAATTACCACCACCGCCACGTGTACCCCCGCGGCCAAAAGGCATAATTTGTATACCCCCACGTCCGCCACGAAGTGCACCAAGTGGCGCTCCGAAGGGGGGCATACCAAAGGCTTTTGCCACTCCAGTCGCCGGTTGGTTGTGAGACCTAGAGTTAAATTCAAAAATGTTACTACATATTGGGTTTGACGTTCCCAAAGAAACGCAACCATATTTATTTAATACAGATATACATACAGACATACATATATAAATACATGTAAATTACAATTTATGTACATGCACACTCTCATAAGTAGAAATAAATAATTATTAATTAAATTAAATTATAAAGCCATTTAAATATATAGACACGTATACTTAAGTAAACTACTCACCACTGGGCTTCGTTTTCTTTGGCATCCATTTTTTCTGCGGGTACTTGGTCACCGTTTGCATTTATTGATGTGACCTCATTTTCCTGTGGGACACCATTAAAAGGCGTTTCGCTGTCTGCGGCTGCTGGTGTCAAATTATCGCCAGCTTGCACTTTATTTTCGGGTCCACCATCTACTGCGGCTTCCATTGTTGATAAATTTAGCTTTGGTTTAGTTTTCAGCAGTAGTTTTTTTTAAGGAAAATCGCTATTTCCGTACTAGACAATTAAAATTTCAGAAACCTTTAATAGAAAAAACTAAAGGTGCCGAAAAAATATCGGCGAATTCTAAGCATCGACTTCAGTAGATTAAAATGGTCGAAAATTAGAAACGATTGGCCAAGGCATGGAGCGGTGATGTGAAATAGTTATTGTTCTCATTGGGCCCTATCACACGGTCAGGAATTATCATAATATTTGGATCGCGATCCATACTGATGGATAGATGGATGGGTCGCGCACGAATGCTTCATGCTCAATATTTATCGCGTCAGTATTTGCATAATTTTTGTGCTGAACGCTTTTTAGGATGTAAGTAAATATTTTTATTTTGTATGAATAATTTGCAGATAATGCATTCCACAATTATTTTAAAATATTTCCTGTTACTTAAAATTTGTTCAATTGGTTTTGAAAGGTTTTAAATAACGAGAACGAAAGCATAGCGAATACGTTTTCGGTGTCGCATTATGAGAGTACAAGATGTACTGACGAAATGTATGGATAGCGTTTTGAAAGTGCTACACGCTCAATATTTATTGACAATATCGCGATCCGCGATCCAGATTTCAAAATTTTTATAAATTTTACTGCATGCTACACTGTCAATAAATATCGCGATATTTGAATCACGTCAATAAATACTGACCGTGTGACAGTGCCCTGTAGGCCTCTTCACTTGAATGACGGCTAAATTTAGGCCCGTTTACTGCCCGTCTCCAGATAAAGTTTACATCTTGATACATATGTTAGAATATAAATAGCCAATGGAGACCGCTCTTTGCTGTTCAAAAGCAATATATATCTTAAATCTTGCCATCTATTACTACATTTTCATTTGCACGAAAAATTCGTGCCTGCAACATCATTATTATTTTAATATAAAAGCAAAAATTGAGCTGTTTTCTGTTAAAATATTCGTAATTATGTACAAGGGTGTCAAATTGCTTATTTTCTAAATTTTTTAAGCGCTTAAATCCGGCAAAAATACGTTTTTGAAGCTATCTTACAAATGCTTAGAAATTTTGAGATATGGATCACGATCCATCAATATTGCATACAACACCGTCAATAAGTATTTTTGGCAAATTCGTTTGCATCTTTTTCTCGTCATCGAGAGAAGTGTGAATGTATTTGTAAAAAGTGTGAATGTATTGCTATTGTCTTCGCAGAATTGTCCTATGTAAATCCCAAGTTAAAAAAAAGCGCTTGCATTGGCACCAGCGTTGGCACTTTGCTACGATTTTTCAAAAATTTTAAAATTTGCTACCCCACTACTCTTTTTATATTTTTCTACGCTTTTTACACTTCATTCAACTTATGGGCAATTTGTAATCACTATAACTCCAAATGTAAATCACTATAACTCCAAAAATGTGGTAAACAGGTCATGGCTTCAAGATCTAATTGTATACTCTTACTGCAAATTGTGCAAGAAGCGTCTGACCAAAAACATCTGCAACATAAATAGGCACCACCGGTAGAATTTTCCCATAACAGACAGAAGGTTCAATATCCGAGAGGGATACGAAGTTGCACAAAGAGGTAACTATGACTGCGTGTCGAGCTACCTCCACGACGGATTCGTTGCCGCAGATAAAAAGCGACTTAACAGAGGCAAATAAAGTAAATTTTCACTTATTTATAACGAAAGTGGCGAGGGTAAGTGGCAAAAAGTGTTTAGTTCTATAAGTTCGGTATTTGGAAAACGCCACTGTAAAAGAAACAAATATTATACAAAACTTAAAAGAGTACAAATGTTATTGAAATTCGAATGTTATGATTTTGTTTTAAAACATTAAATAATAATAATAATAATAATAATATATTGGCGCTTACACATATGTTAGTATTTGGCCGAGCTTCTCCTCCGATTTGTGGCGTGCGCCTTGATGTTGTCACACAAAGCGAAGGGACCTACAGTTTTTCGCCGACTCCGAACGGCGATTGTATTTTTATGAGAAGCTGTTTTTCATAGCAGAAATACACTTTAAAACATTAAATATGCATATGAATTTCAAATAACAACCAATTTTTATCTTTTGATACGATTTCTGTTTACTTTTTACTACGATTCTGGTATTCTGTATATCATTATATGATATTTTGTTATTTAAAAATATATTTTCTTTATTATTTGATCACGTTGAAAGTATTTATTAATAATCAAAAAATTTCTTTTCCAATAACAAACAAATTTATAGAACAATAAATTTAACTTCAAGAATTTAAACAAGTGTAAAAACATGCAGTTTAATTACCCTACATTCTGCTACGTAATCGGTTTCGTGAGCTGCCAACCCTGATTGCTACGTTTAACCGCACTACCGTTCTTGGGGTGAAAACAGCCATTAAGCTCGTCGGCGATTTCAAGCATCCGTTGTTGGTTACCCCAGCAACGAGTACATGTGTGAGTGTCGGGTTGAATGTCGGGTGCTTGAAGCTTGCCTGGCGACCAGTGTTGCCAGAACGTTTTGGGCCGACCGGCTAGATTGGCAAAAAAAAGCGGCTAAAAACGGCTAAAATGTTTAAGTGAAATTTCACATGCTTTATTTAAATAAATCGCAAGAAACGAAAGACTAGTTAACACCATTAATTTATATCGAGTGTATATTCCTCATCATCAAATGAATCACTATTGTATATATCACCTGAATTCATTAATTTTAAGAGATCGTCATCTACAGTAAAATTATGGCAGCATTTTTCTTCACGTTTTAAACCGTATCTTATATATAAAATAGAGTTTAACGTTTTAACGCACATTGGATTTCTTTGCTTAGTTTTTATACCCGAGCGCACTTGTGCACAAGGGTATATTAATTTTGTTCACATAACGGTTGTTTGTAACAGCCAAAACGAATCGAGATAGATATAGACAAATGTATACATAAATGATCAGGATGAAAAAAGAAATCGATTAAGCCATGTCTGTCTGTCCGTCCGTCTGTCCGTCTGTCCGTCTGTCCGTGTACACGATAACTCGAGCAAAAATTGAGATATCTCAACGAAATTTGGTATGTAGGTTTCCCTTAATCCAAGGTAGGTTGGTATTGGAAATGGGCGAAATCGGACTGTAACCACGCCCACTTCCCATATAACGGTAATTTCCAGAAATACGAAAACTGCGATATTTTAGTAACTATTGAAGATAATTCACTCAAAATTGATATTTACAATAATTTTTAGACGAAAAATATGAATATTATACATTTTTGGAAAATGGGCGTAGCCACGCCCACTTATGGTTTTATGTGTATATCTAAGGAACCGCTGCACCAATTTCTTCCAAACTTTGCACAGTTGTTGGCCTTTGCACAGCATACCAAACGGCCGAAAATTTTTAAAATCGGATAATAACCACGCCTACCTCCCATATAACGGTAATTTTCAGAAAAACGAAAACTGCGATATTTTAGTAACTACTGAAGATAATTCACTCAAAATTGATATTTGCAATGAGTTTTAGACGAAAAATAAGAATATTACAAAATTTTAGCAAATGGGCGTAGCCACGCCCACTTATGGTTACATGTGTATATCTTGGTAACCGCTACACCAATTTGTACCAAACTCGGTGTGGGTATTGTGCCTGGCAAATAAAAGCAAAACGTTGAAAATTATTGAAATCGGACTAAAATAACGGCCGCTTCTCATATAACGGTAAATTTCAGAAATGCTTGAAACTTCAATATTTCGAAATTGAAGGACGCTAATTTACTCAAAATTGATACACCCCGGCTTATCGTGTAGCGGTAGCTTTCGGAAAGGTGGAAAACATATATTTAATAATTGCGCCGGGTATTTAATGTTCGGCTCCGCCCGAACTTAGACTTTCTTACTTGTTATTATATTCATTGAACTAAATATTCGCTCTACTTCTGCATTACTTATAGGCAAAACAAGAAAACTAAAAACTAGGTTGCAAAGGTCAGCAAAAGGGTTTTCTCCTAGAGCATTTCGAATTTGATAAACTTCGGCCCAAAATTTTACAGTTGAGTCTAAATTACTCCAGGTATGTAACGTTAACCGTTGCCATTGCATCTCTATAGATGTTATTTCGTCGTCATTATATTTGTGTTTTTGTTGCTGTAGATGAACAAATACTTTTGGTTTAATTACTCTTAATGCATTTCCAACCGAAAAAAGTAAATTTTTTTTAGTGTGGCAATATTTGTAGGGAGGCGTTGGCGTAATTCCTTTATTAAAGTGATAATAAAATAGCGACCATTTTCTCGAATTATTTTCTCGGCTTCGTGGTCAAAAGCGTTTGTGCTTACTTTTGTTTTTAAATACTCTTCAAAACTGTGATAAAACTGAGGAAATGGAGCAAGGTATGGTTCCAACGGGAAGCATATAGGATCAAATGTGTCCGCGCTAATAACCACTAGGGAGCATAGATGCGAAAGTAAAACATTGAGTTCATTAAAAATCTTCATTGGGTCTGCATTATTGCTTTCGAACAACTTGTTTACTTTTTGCACCTGAAAATTAGGCAAATAGTAAAATCGGCTAAAAACGGCTAACTTTTTTTTACAAACCGGCTAACAAATCGGCTGCCGGCTAGATCGAATTTTCTCCGGCTAGTTGCTATCAAAACCGGCTAAATCTAGCCGGAAAACGGCTAAAATGGCAACGCTGCCGGCGACACTCAAGCATAAAGCGTCAACACTAGGGATGGGTAGTGGGGGTTGAAATTCGATTTTTTCCGAATTTCGAACATTGCCCAACCATTCGATTATTCGATTCGAAATTGGGTGGTGCAAATTCGATTTAATTCGAATTTTTTCGAATTTTCAACAATTTTTTCCACTGCAATTTTAAAAGTTTGTTTGAGAGCATGATACCTCAAATCGAAAGAGATTCAATTGAACTTACATTAATGTGATTAATTATCCGTACTGCCGGTTTCACTAAAGCAATTTAAGTGAAAAATTATTATCTTTTCTGTCAGTTCCCATATTAAATTTAAATGAAAAAATCATTTTTCACTTAAATTGCTTTTTGAAACTGGCTTTAGCCTTCACAACAAAAAAAAAATAAATATCTTTTTCTCAAATATCATAAATATCTCAAAAATGCATCAGA